CCTTATTGAAAAATTTATTATTAAGAAAATTGGCTGTTCTCACATTTTCTTTCAACATCCAATTCAACTTTGTTTACTTTTTGTACAGCTATGTCATCATCGCCAGGACGGCGCAATCTTGTATTCTATCTTTCTTGTCAAATATGCATTATATCTAACTGTCATACTACTATTAATGGTAACCATGAATATTCATTAAAATCGTTTCAATTCGTTATAAAAGTAGTTTACATACTTCTAGTCTAAATATATTTTTTAATATAAACAAGTTTTTTTAATTCTAAATTAAATCAACAATCTCAAGACTTATAAAAAATGTGTCTTCAAAAAATACGTTCCAAAGCATCCCTGTTGATATCATAATTGGAACTCAAATTAGAATAGAAAATTTGATGCGAAAGATTTTCCGAGATATTCATCATACAAATTTATCATCTTACTTTTCCGTATGTCGCTCTAAAAAGAAATATATTTTAATTTATGTTTTCTTAAAAATAAATGCAAATTTAACTATTTTTTCCACCGGCAGGCACGAATATGGTATTCAAAACAGAAACAATGACAACGAATTTTACACACATTGTTGTATTTTAGCGCAAAACGATAAGTTTCACAAATATTTTAAATTATTGCCTGGAACATACACATTTATCGTTATTATTGGAAATCCAAGACTTGGCATGCATTTTTAATTGCTTATTTAATCATTTCAAATGAATAAAACCACATTTTTCTAAAATATTTCTCAATTTGCATCTTAAAGTTTTTTCTGAAACTTGAATGTAACTCTGTGCGGAGAATAAGAGAATTGAAAATCAGGTGATCTCAGCTGTTTTCAAATNTGTATTTTAGCGCAAAACGATAAGTTTCACAAATATTTTAAATTATTGCCTGGAACATACACATTTATCGTTATTATTGGAAATCCAAGACTTGGCATGCATTTTTAATTGCTTATTTAATCATTTCAAATGAATAAAACCACATTTTTCTAAAATATTTCTCAATTTGCATTTTAAAGTTTTTTCTGAAACTTGAATGTAACTCTGTGCGGAGAATAAGAGAATTGAAAATCAGGTGATCTCAGCTGTTTTCAAATGTAAACAAACAAAATGGCGCTTTCCATACTTGTAAGCCTATACAATGCTGTAACCATGACACTGGTGATACACAAAACATTTAGATGACACTTGATTCTCGTCTCACTCTCTTCTGATAAGCGGTGCACCGATTGTTGGTGATTTTGTGTAGTGTTCTCACTCTCGAAACATCATAAAATACGAGCTTTATGGCAAATAGCGGATAAATTTCCCAATTGAAATAACTTAGTACTACGAAATGATTAAAGAGTATCCGAAAAATTTACTGTGTAGCAGCACTAAAATCGTGATGGATTATTTCAAAATTTATATTTAATTAATAGGGAATTCAAAACCTCTCCAGCTCATCATACCCAAGGTTTTTACGTAATGATATTAGCTCAAAATTAGCCAAAAATTTATGACTTCAATGCCTTAATCTATTTATCTTCAACTGACCCTAACTCAGTAAATAAACTCCGTGGAAAAAAATGCGCTCAAATATTTTTGGTTTGCTTTGCACCAAGGAATAAGTGTGCCAAGTATTTGTATGCAGTTTTGAATCACCCTTTATATAAAGGAATTAACTTAAATTTTCTGAGTTTTCTAAATGAGTTTATAAAAAAATAATTTTGAAGAATTTTTGATTGTTAATCTACTTCGGCTTCCAGTGTACGATTTTCGAAAGGACGACAAAAATCATAACTTTAATGGATATAAAATCATGAATTTTCGCATAGATCACTTTCACAAATAAAGGAAGACTTAAGCACAAAATTTTACAAATTCCCCCGCTACTATAAGGTTTGATATATTTTATGTCCGAGTAAAGTAGTACGTATGATTTCACAAAAGAAACTTACATTAAAAGATATCATAAACTTAGATAAATTCCTTTTTTTTATAAAAAGAAATTTATCCCAAATCAGTTTCATCCTCATTAGATTTAATATTTACTAGATCAGTTCAGCCATTTTACAATATCAGAAGTAATAGCTCCGCGCTTCGTCTTTGGCGATTTTCTTAAACTATAAATGAAGGGATCAAATGAAATTAGCGTTTGTTGGCCCTATTTCTTGATTCTTAGGCTTCTTCTGATAGCTGGCCGATAGAAAGGATGCAATGATCAATTATAATCATATCAATAAACATATCTACAATAACCCCATTTCTGATGAAAATTTCTACTCAATAATAGTTTTTCTCTGGTGAACTTTGTATTTATTTTCCGAGCCTCTTACTTGGAATAATTTGATTTCCAGCCTATACACCCCGAAAAAACTCTAATAAAAATATTTATCTCAACAAAGATTTGGTTATAGTTACTTTAGCTTGTTGTAGTTACAAAATCGTGTGTTAAGAGAAATATATTTTGCTGACTTTTTTCTGGGTGAATGCTATATGCAACAAACATTCCATAAACCGTATCCAAGAGTTTAACGGTGACAAGCCAAACTCTAAAAATCCAGCTTCGAGTGCTGTCTGATAAAACTGAAGTTTTGTTCATTTTTGTTGGTTTGGCTCCACACAAATAACATTGAATTGTTCACTGAGAAAGGAGTTTAGTTACAACAAGTAAATATGTTTCTCTCAATACGTGATTTGTTTATGTTTAGTTACACGATTTGATTACATTTATCAACTTTTATCTGAGTGTATTTGGATAGAGCTGTATACAGCTTTTTGTCAATCATACATAAAATAAGTTTTAAATTAACATAAATAGGAGGTTGAACATCATCTACTAATATATTCACTTTTGTTGGACGAAGCTCTGCTACCTCACTTTTTATCAAATCAGTGGTTTCTTTAGCGTCAATGGCGGGAAGAACTCTCTCTTTTCACATTAGGGGTATTCCTGAAATCTTGCAAAGCCGATGCACGTTGCATGGAATGCATAGCTTGCAAAGACACAACAACAAAATAGATGGGAAACTACATCTCCTAATGCTGCAAAATATGCAATGTCTAAACCCATGCATATATTTTGCAAAAAAGCGTAGCAAGATAAATGCGACCCTGTGCGAGCTGTTTTGTTTTTGAAACTGCCACATATTCTCTCATTCCTCTCATTTCGCTCAGTTAATTGTTTTGCTGTATCTTCTTATTGTATTTCACACAGACTTTTGCTGCTTGCTCTCTATGCATGCTACAATTTTGAAATGGGGTGCTCTTGCTCTTGCAAATTTGGAATAGAATTTTTACATTTCGTGCAATCCGTGTAATGTGCAACACTTCAACAAAACTACTATTATTTATATATATACATTTGAATTGGAGCAAGGGAAATACTAAACATTCCTCAGACTATTTTCGCTTATAACCGCTTTGGTTTGCTCCATCACATCCCGATTTAAATAATATTTGCATTTCATTACAACATCAACCTTAATATCGTATGATCTATCCACGACCGCAAACTTATTTCAGCAAACGATTCCGTTGGCGGCCGCTGTGGTGTAGTGGTAAGCAGTATCGTAAAGCAATATCGAAAAAAATTTAGAAAAACAGGTTTTTTCTTAACAGCGGTCGCCCCTCGGCAGGCAATGGCAAACCTCCGAGTATATTTCTGCCATGAAAAACAGCTTTTCATAAAAATACAATCGCCGTTCGGAGTCGGCGTAAAACTCCATGTCCCTTCACTTCGTGTGACAACATCAAGGCGCACGCCAAAAATCGGAGGAGAAGCTCGGCCAAACACTAACATATGTGTAAGCGCCAGTCTATTATTATTATTATTAAACGATTCCGTTACTGCTATATTTTTACGATAGAATAAGTGAGTCCCAAACACTGTCATATGAAAGATATAAAAAATTTGAATGTACATGGCTGGAATTCAGCTTAATTAATCTATATTTGTTTGTAGATAAATCTAAATCCAAAATTATCGCTAATGTTTCATCCGGCGAAAGACCTTCGTCCTTATTACTTTCTGCTCCGTACTTTTTAATAGCAGCGCCCATTTTTGAGAAGCCAAAGCAAGGTCTTTTACTATTCATGCTAAGCTTCCCTTCCCGGACAAAAGCATTTGCGTTTCAGCGGCTAATAGTAACTGGCTGCTGTTTTCTGTGAATTCCTTGTACATATAAACAAAAACTTGGTCGCATATTTAGTAATTCTTTGTGTAATAGGGAATCCAGATTAAAAAGGAATAAAAAATAAAACAATGTTTGTCGTGTCAAGTTTAAAGATCGAACACTGTGCGGCATTAGAAAACCGCCGTTCCGTGGGTCCTGATGTGTCAATCAAGTGGGAATATTTGAGGGAAAGCAAGTAAATGTTTGAATGAACTTCTTTCATTTCCTCCCTTGCCTCAACAGTGTTCCGTTTAAACCCTAATGGTCTTATTCATAAAAAATAAAGAAGGTTTAAAAAGCTTTATAAAATGACGTTTTCATACATTTTTCAATTTATAAACCTTATGTAAAGCTACTTTATTTTTTATGAATAAGGCTATAAAACTTTACAATTCAAATAGAAAATTCATAATATATAATCATTCCTCCATCGTCTTTGTATGCAGTTATTTACTCGTACGGAACCTGTGATGCGGATATACATTGTTGTCAGTAGTGTGACTTTAAGGAATTGTAGGGTTGTTTCACTCACAAACCAAGTCACCATTTTGGTACATTTTTAAATGAGCTTTTTGAAATAAAATACCGGATTGATGCTATTCATTTGATTAATCTTGCCATCCCTACCTATTTCTAATGCCCGCAATCCTGTGGGCGAAATTTAGTATAAATTCTTGGAACCACTTAAGATTTTTGTTGTTCAAGTTATTAATAGTTTCTCTATTTTCTTGATAACAATTGTTTATTTTTGTGTTGTTGTTGTAAGCTGCACATTTTCTTAGGGAATGTCTTATTATTTTTTCGAATTCTTCTTTTTCACTTCCTTTTTTTCTTTCTATAGGTTCAGTGCCAATGATCCCGATAACGGAGCGCGGTGAGTTTAAATATTTAAGGAGAGAGAGAGAGTATAAAATTAAAAAAAAAAAAAGACATCAACTCCGTGTTGTAACCCTTTACTAATGTCGATTAAATCTTTGGTCGTATTTTAACGTTAAACTGATTCGGCAAAAATTTGAGATCAAAATATATGCTAGTACATCGATCCCACATAAATTTCCCTAATAAAAATTTGCCTACCTTTGATGATCAGCTCTCGCTCTCGTTTTCGTCAGCATGGTCTGACTATATAATAAATAAAGAAAACGTTTATGATGCTACCATATAGACTAACCCTTATCCAAAAGTGTAAGTGTAATAGGGTAAGTAGCATCTACATACATATACCATTTTTTGAAGTGGGTTAGAGTTTACGTTTCTTGTCCCTGAGAGACCCGTGCTCTATCATCGATGGTGGTAACAAAATTCAATGATGTCAGCATCTTTTGTACTATTGGGTTATTTACAACGGTGTCGTATGATTGTAGGTCGTAAACTTCAAAAGGTTAAACAAATGTTTAGAAAATATGAAATCATAACCTACTAATTTTTAATAGTGTGAATTCATAATTTGGCTTTAATGGTACCTTGCGAATCTTCTAAATATGTTTTTAGCCGTTTAAAGCTTCGACATACAACAATACGACACTTACGACAGCGTTGTGAATACCCCAAATTTAGTTTTCACGTGTTATATTTTTAGGGAACCAAAGATCTGTGTATAGCTTTTCCATTGTGTTTTTTCTCAATTAGGTGGAGTTAAGCACACTTATCTGGATATCCATGGGTAATGCGCGATTTTTGTGTCGCTAACTCAAAGCGCCATCACAGCGCAGTGTACTGATTTGCACGAATTTAATTGCAAGGAATGTAGTAAAATCCACGATATTCTCATCATCCTTTAGTAAAAGCTTTAAATTTGTCAATATGATTTTCTGTGTCATTCTCATCACTCAAAAGCAAAAACAAAATACATGTAATTTTTCTGTGAATTTGCCTTATGCTCGAAACACATTGAAAACGACGGCCTACGGACCACATCTGTCAAATTATTTTAACACGTACTCTTATGTAGATAATTATTTTGGCGGCAACAGAGCTACACCCCAATTGTGTCTGTGGCCAGATTAGATCTATTTATAATTTTCTAGTGACAGACGCATGATGTCGCTGCCGCGTTCAAATGTATGTCGCCATCAACAAATCGTTTATATAATGAAGCTACAAAAATGTAACGCTGTGGGCTGTTGCCGATGACGCTAGCGCTTTCTCTATACTGCTGTGGGCGTGACAACTCCGGCTACGGTTTCAACGCAACTGCGCAGCGCAGCACAGTGTTACCCATGTTTTACACATATCTTGATGTTTTTTGCAGTAGAACTTCTATTCTTCTTCTTCTTAATTGGCGCTGTAACCACCTAAGCGATTTTGACTGAGTTCAACAAAGCACGCCAGTCGTTTCTTTTCTGTGCCAACTGACGCCAATTGGAAATGCCAAGTGAAGCCAAGTCCTTCTCCACCTGGTCTTTCCATCTCAGTGGGGGCGTCCCTCTCCCTCTGCTACCACCAGCGGGTTCCGAGTTGAATACTTTCAGAGCTGGAGCGTCGGTGTCCATCCATGTCGTTGTAAATCTCATACAGCTCATCATTCCATCGTCTGCGGTACTCGCCGTCTTCAACACGTAAATGCCCGAACTTGTATTGCTTATAACTAAATAGCTCACAAAATTCACTGTAAGTAAATAGACCACAAAAGTCAGTGTTAACTGTCTAAATCAGTGATGGGCACACTAACACTTTCACATTTTGAGCATGTGTTGGTGCCTTTTGCCGAGAGCGAATGATTCGGTCATTCAGTCGTTTTCTTAAGTTGAAACGAGGAGGTTGTGCGGATGGATAACTAGATATGAAACTCTCCATTTCGCTTTGAGAATACCCCTAAACTCGTTTTACGACTTGGCAGCACAGAAAGTTCAGGGGGCGATGAACAGCTTCAGGGGATTAACTTCACATGCATTTACTTACATTCACTTTTACTCGTTATTTAAGAATTTTATAACATGCAACCGCAACCCAAGTATCAAAATTTTTTGATTTTCGAGTGTTGTACTTAATAAAAGAAAATCTCCTACAATTTCTTAATAAATGCCCATACATGTATTCCGTAGCAGTGGCACTATTGGAAGATGTTATATAAAATGAACCTTTTGACAGCGCTCTCACGATCAAAAGAGTTTCGTATCAAAATATCCATAGGTGGGCGCGCACCATTCTGGAATTTCTTGAAGCAAGCAAAACTAATTTTCGACAAAAACAGCGCGCTGTGAAGCGTGCAAACAACGCAACCAGTGTTGTCACACGTGGGCCTTTCCTACCAAAACTGGTAGGTTTTTTTCCATTTGGTAGGTTGGTAGGCTGGATTGGATTTTAGTAGGTTCCGTGACAATGAGTAATAGTTGTTTTCGGAAAATAGAAAATATGTATCTCCAAACATTTTAGCAACAATTTTAACACGAATACTTCACCGGTGCGTTCGTATAACGACATGATTCCAAAGTACAAACGTATACCCTAATTCTTGCCAATATACAACATGAACATCCATATACATATACTTTACGGCGTACTTATGCCAAGATTCCAGAAAAGTTTTCCAGTGGGCTCGTACCCAACCATATTCCAGGTCTTCGCAGTCTGTGTTCGCGAATGTCATCATATAAGGCAAATGAGGCCAGAATAAATATTATGTCGGATACTCAGGGATCGTTAAAGGCCTTAGACTCTTTTAAAACGACATCAAGGCTTGTGAACTTTTGAGCCTCCTGGGAGCTCACAATAGCGTAACGCAGTGGTGGGTTCCGGGACATGAAGAGTTTGAACGCAACGAAAGGCCTGACTGTTTCGCAAGGCGTTGAGACTAAACGCACTTGCATGGTCCCGAGCTATTCTGTGGTACATCTAAAGGATACACTGCAAAACTACTAGCTGGGAATAATCTCAGATTGCTGCCCACTGGCGGAAGTCAAAGGGAATAAGACAATCAAAGAGTTTCATAACTCCTTCCAGAAGGGCCTCCGAAAGACGCCTTGAACTTAGAACTCTTAATGGCTACCTGACAGCACACTGCAAGTTAATGTACCATTTGAATTAGATGGGTCTTTCTGTAGAGACGGACTCTAGGTTTTGTGGACTGGTGGAGGAGACCCCATAGTATATTCTGTGTACCTGCCCATGAAGCATGAATCGTAGACTGATACACCTTAGAGAACAATTGTCTTCTCCATCTAAAATTTGGAACATCGCACCGTCCAAAGTTCTTAGCGGTGGTGTTTTGATGGCGAAAATGACGAGTGAAAAAATTTACGAAGAAAGACGCTTGAAAAAACTTCTCTCTTCAACATAATTCCCAAAAAAAATTTTTGTTATGGTAGGAAATTTTGGTAGAATAAAAAATTTGTCTGTGGCAACACTGAACGCAACCTGCCTCGCTAACAGCTTATGCCAGACTGATTCATAGGTTGAATTTTTGTTTTTTTGTTCGGCAATATAATAGGTTTGTTCCACACGCTTTCCGGCCCTTTTCGGTAATTAGAGCGTAAAAATAATTTACTCTCACAAGTGTCAAAAATGTGTCAACCCGTGCCAAAGGTGCCCAGAGCGTGAGGAACGCATAAAACCACCTTTCGTCCCCGGTATCAACAAATCAGTTCTAAACAATGATTTTATGTGTATTTATCTTATATAGCTAATGAAATTAGCAAATACCTACATTTCTGAACCTTTAGTGCTATTTTCCATTTTTGTATTTTACAAAATTTGCTATCGGATGTAAACAAGCTGTTATTTCAAATTGACTTCTTGAACATTTCTGCCCGGAAAAAAAGTCCGGGCTATTTCGGGCACGAAGAAGACACATTTACGAAAGTATTCGCTCTCTATTACCCATTTTTCTAGCGTGAGTAACGCTTTCTGGGCTGATTTCGGCACCCGCGGGCTCGTGTGGAACAAACCTAATATGGGAGTTTTAAAGCAAAGCCTAATCTCAGAACAATCAATTGTATAGGAGCTATGTGTTGTAGTGGTCCGATCTTGTCAATGCCGACAAATGGTAAATTATAAAAGCAATGATGTATTTATAATAGATGGCACTAGTGAACCCACATGGCGTCAAAACGCCAGCGTTTAATTAAATTTTTTAAACAGGTGAAACTCTATTGAAAAACCTCACAACAATATTCCTAATAACTAATCTAAACCATTTCTCAGTGAGAGAGGTCTCGCATGGGGTCGGTTTTCATTTCATCAAATTTCAAATCTCCCTGTAACTTAAAAAATAAAACCTGTGCACATCTATCTAGAATCCTAGTTCTTTTATTTGACTTCTCATTTTGGTAATTCGAAATAACGGTGCAGATGATGACCTTAAAAAAATAGATGGCAACTCTAATTAAAAATATTATCAGCATATAGTTTTCTTAAAACTCTTTCGTTTGACACTAATATTTCGATATTGCATATATGTATCTTTCGTATAAGTAAAACAAATTCGACTTTTCAAACAGGTGGCAACCCCTTTAAAAGTATTTTCAAACTAAAATTTTTCGCCTGGCATTGTTACACATATTTCAATTAACTGATGAATTAAGTTGAATTGAATTTTTTTTAAGCACATGGCAACTCTCCTAAATACAGTTTAGAAATAAATTATTTTCAAACCCATTTCGATTGATACCCGTCTTTTGACAATCCATTTAACTTATTAAATAATTTGAGCTTAATTTTTTCAAAAAAAAAAAAACCAAATGTTCAGCTTAAAGATTTCTTAACACTCGTTCTTTTGATAACCCTATTTTAAAATTTCATGTAACTTATGTATAATTAAACGAAATACCACTTTCGAAACAGGCGGCAACCACCTTAAAACTTATTTTCTAACTAAAATTTCATATAACTGATGAATTAAGTGGAAATTTATTTTTGAACACGTGGCTATCCTCC